GAACCATCCTCCAAGCCCACTGCAGTGGCCCAACCCCACCTCCGCGGTGAGCTAACCTGTGCCCTTGCTGTGTAGGAAGAGCAGCTCCTGCTGAAGGACTCCGAGTGCAGAGCGCGCCTCTTCCCCAGGCCCTGGGACCTGCGGCAGCTGCAGGTGGGTGGGGATCAGGCCCAGCCCGGGCTCAGCCGGCCCCTGCCACCGGCCTGCTGTTGGCCCCTTGGCCTTCTCCTTTGTCCCTCTCTGTCCCTCCACGCTGCTCCTCATCAGTTCTTCCCATCCTGGGCCACTGTCCGCCTTTTCTCTTGACCCCTGACCTGTCGCCCTCCCCTCTCGCCCTCTGTCCTCTGTCCCGAGAATCCCTCACCTGTGCCCATGTCCTTGCCCAGGTGTGGGAGCGCCCCGTGGCCCTGCAGGCTGAGCTGGCCCTGACCCTGAAGGTCCTGGACACCGTGACAGACCCGGCCCTGGGGGCCGTCCTGGAGCAGCCCCTCCGCACGCTGTGGCACTTCCACTCCCAGCTGCGGGCCTGTGTGAGTCCCGGGTCCCTGTGCACAGCATGGGCTCTGACCACCACCCTTCCCTGCCAGGCCCTTCTCACAGCGCCCTCTCTGCCTCCAGGTCCCGGCCCCGCCCACAGCCACCCCCAGGCCCCTCAGCCACCGCCTGTCCCACTGGCTGCAGAGGCTCCACCAGGCCCCCAAGAAGGTGAGAGAGCAGGAGGGTTGATGTCTGGGGCATCGGGCACCAGACCGTGGGCAGCCCCCGAGCCCTGTCTGTGTCCCCACAGGAGTCCCCTGGCTGCCTCCAGGCCTCTGTGGTCCTCAACCTCTTCCGCCTGCTCACCCGGGACCTCAGATGCGTCGCCAGGCCTGACCTGTGTGCCTGAGTCCTTGGCCTCTCCTGCCTCCTGCCAAGGAAGCCTACATTTTATTTCTTCGTCCAGGACGTGCCTTAATTTATTGCCCCCCAATCACTATTTATGTATTTATTTATGTATTAGATTCTCCAACTCACATCTTATTAAATTTCTATTTTTGTACTTTTTGAGACCCTTTTGCAAATAAATAATGAAAAAGTGACCCTTGTAACAGGACTCTTCTATATAAGCTGGTGTGAATTCCTTTATTTCGGCCAGGAACACACTAGTGCCAATGTGGCCTGTCCCAGACTGGGTGGAGGTTGCCTTGCAGGGCTGAGGGCTCCACCAGCAGTCAGCGCTGTTCTTGCTTCTCCTGCTTCCTGCAAGAAACCCAAGTTTTGCCACCTGAGCTGTTGTGGAAAGACGCTTCTTCCAAGCGGTCTTGGTCATTGCATGCTGCTCCTGCTACTCCAATTCAGGTCCCTGTGTCCCTCTGTGGTGTGGACATCCCTGCTGTCACAGTCCTTTTTTTGTCCTTTTCCTTTACCCACCTCTCAGAGCCTGCAGCAGTGCATCCCTTCTTCTCAGCTCAGATTGACCTGACACGGCCCCCCACCAGCCTTGCCCCAAGCCTACGGTTGTAGCCAGGAAACCATTTCTGTTGTGAAAGGCCTAGGGGAACAGACTGGCTGGCTCTCCACAGCCCAAGATATTATCCATGGCTAAAGCTCACAAAGCTTAACAGCATCTGCAAGTCGCTGTGCCACAGAATGTAAGATACACACTGGAGTTAGGGTCAGGATGACATCCCTGGGGGTGATTGTTCAGCCAACCACACTGTTCATGTGATTTTACTTCCGATGGTACAGCTAGCGTACATGTGACTGTGTGTCCAGCCGTCTGCCTGACGCGGTCTCCCTGTTCACCTGTGACTTTCTTTCTGGCCCCTCGGAGGATGTGTGAGGGGGTCGGGGGTCCCCTCTTCACCACACATTGCACATGCCTTCGCCCCACTGAATGTCTGCAGGGTCACATGACTGCACTCCATGGGGACCCGGACATTATCCTCGAGGGAGCTGAGCCTCTTGTCACCTTCACCCCGCATCCAGGGACCCTGCGCCGGCCATGGCCTTGGCTCCTCCCCTCACCTGTTGAGCACACGCAGAGGAACACAGCACCGTGGGACACTCAGAAGCGCAGTCACTGGCCTCGTGCTGTGGTGTGAGGCAGAGGAGCCTCCTCAGAAACCAGGGCCTCTCCCTGCACTGACCTGATTAGGTAGGAGGAGCCAGTGTCAGGTGGACATTTGCACCCCACAGCCCATCAGCTGCTGGGTGCACTTGACCTCCTGCTGGGCTGGGTCTCATGGCTGGGGCAGCCACTAGGTGTCACCTGGCCCTGCATTTCTCCTTCAGGACCCAGTACCAGGCTGGGCTCTTTGTTGACTGCTGTCTGCTTTGTTATAGATCCCTTGGCATTTTCCCCCAGGCCTGGGGCTGCGCTGGGCTGCCCTACTGAGGTGTGTGTAAACTCCCAGGGCCTGGCCTTGCTACAGACTCCTCTGCTTGAAGGTTCTGTTGGGTCATTGGGTTCATGTTTTAGAGCTCCTACACCACAACCTGGCCTACTGCTGCCTCCTACTCTGCCCTCATCCAACACCCATGGCTGCGGCTCTGGATTCTTCCCAAGTATGGACTATGCCATCCGTCTGGGCCTTTCCCTCCCTGATGTGAGTTAAGAGTGACAATAATTTAATTGGGGAAGGGCCCTGCCATACCCCAGTCCTCCAGGTCCCTAAACACTTCCCTCATGGGACATTTGGCCAAACCTTTAATGGTGCTCTCTCTGCCTTCTGGAGCTTGGTGGCTTCCAGTGTTCTTGCTACTTCTTCTTCTTCCCTCTCACTAGCATGCTCACATAGAGGAGTGGACCCCGGGGGTGTCCTGGGAAGGCCCAGATGGTCCTTTGGGCAAATGATGTTTCAACAGGACACAGCCCTGCTCACATAGCCCAGGTCCTGATTTTACCTGAGCATCTGGTAAGCACTCTGACCTCCTTGCGGTGGGCAAAATGATCGCCTCTGCCAGCTCCACGGCCAGGTATCACTCTGTGATAGGACCCATGACACCCGTCAGCAAAGATGCTGTGTTCTGCACAACTCTGCAGTTTGAGCCACTATTGTCTTCTACTGTCATCCGTCTTGTTTTTCTTTTCTCTCTTCCCCTTTCTCCTTCTTCAACTCTGTCTCTCTCTTTCTGTCTCTTTCTCTCTCTGTTTCTGTCTCTCTGTCTCTATCTGTCTCAGTCAGTCTGTCTGTCTGTCTGCCTCTGTCTCTCTCTGCTTGTGTGTACATGTGCGTGTGATTCTGGGGATGGATCCCAGTGTCTCACACATGCGGGGCAAGTGCACTTTCCCTGAGCTGTGCACCAGGCTTTCTTTATTTTGAGACAGACTCACTCAGTTCCCCAGGCTGGCCTCAAATTTATGATCTTCCTGCCTCAGCATCCTAAGTGCTAGGATTACAATGAACAGGACCAGGCTGGGTCCATGTGATTTCGGAAGGGGTAGAAGAGGAGAATTAACAGAGACGTGAATGAATCAGCAGCCCCCATGTTTGAAGCTTTGAGAACTGTACAAATGCCTGCCATCACTTCCAGAACACAGGACTCCTTTCTATCACAACTGAGGTGGGTTGGCCAGGTCAGTGGCTTCTGCTTGGACCTCCTCTCTCTGTGGGCCCCACCAGGGCCAAGACTCCATTTACTGCCTCAGTCCAGATGTCCCACAGGAGGGTCAGAGTGGGGTTCTGCGTCCCCAGCATCATTATTAACTCAGGTTTGGTGCCCACTAATTTCCAAAGGGACTCTGGCCTGTTACCCCTGGGCAGTGGTGGCCAGTTATTTTTTCATAACCACTGTGTTGGAAGAAAAACTTTGATTTGCAATACTTGCCAATTCCTGTGGTGTAAACATACCATCTGGCCAATTTCCAGCTGCCAGGGTGATGTTCCTATGCATAGAATTTGGAAGAACTACAAAACAGCACACAGGCAGGGATACATTTCTGCTATGTACACACAATAATCCTAATGTTTTCATTTCCTAGGGACATGGTAACAATGTAGTACAGGCAGGGTGTCTCGAAACAAGAAACTAGCTAGGTGCAGGGGTGATGCCTTGTAATTCCAGCACTCAAAGGCTGAGGCAAGAGGACTGTGAGTTTGAGGCCATCCTGGACGATATACTGAGACCCTGTCTCACAATAAACAAATAAGCAAAACCAGAGTTTATTGTCTCACAGCTCTAGAGGCAAAAGTCAAATCCAAGGTATGGTGGGCCATGTCACTCCAACACCTCTGCTCCTCCAGACCTCCGGTTCCTGGCCATGCTGGGTGACCTCGGATACATCAGTCTCTACCTCGGTTGTCACACAGCCTCTTCTCCCTGGGTGTCTCTCTCTTTATTCTTCCCCTTTTTATGAGGATGCCAGTCATGAGTTAGGGCCCACACGAATGACTTTATTTCAACTAATTCCAACCCTAGTGGGCCTGTCTGCAAGTCACATTCTGAGGTACTGAGGGTTAGGACTTAACATGTCTCTGGGAGCACAATTCAACCCATGAAATGTATGACCCTCAAGAGTATAGATAATACTAAAATACGGTAGAAATGATCAGAAAATAATGTGTAGTATTAATATAAATTCAATTATAAGCTTTAGTTTAACTATTTTTAAGAGATAAAAGAGGGCCAGGGATATAGCTCAGTGGCACAGGGCCTGCCTGGCAAATGTAAGGTCCTGCGTTCTATTCCTGGTACCAAAAAAAAAAAAAAAAAAAAAAAAAAAAAAGATATAAAAGAGTCTTGCTATATTGCTTAGGCTGACCTTAAACTGCCAGGATCAAGCCATCCTCTCATCTAAACCTCCTGTATAGCTGAGACTATTGGTGCAAACCACAACACCCAGCTTCTGTTTAATTCCATAAATATCTATGTTTAACTACTGGCTTGCAGTATTCCTGAGAATTTAACATCTGGTTCTGAGCCAGGATAGCTAGCAACTACTGCGACCCTGGTCACAAGCCCGTTTAGGAAAAGGTTGAGGACCACTTACTGTGATGTTGTGGGGGTCCTTCTTCCTAGGGACCCAGTGAAGGAGACTTCACTTTGGGAGGGGAAACTGACCAGGTGTGGAGACTTGGGGCGATCGTGACTCTTAGCAGGGCCCCCGCCTCACCCTGGACCAGGCACCCTGGGTTCCTCAGTGTGTGATGCGGATGCCGCCTGCTTGCTGTCCACGCATCTCTCCTGCAGAGCTCCTGGCTCCTCTCTCGGTCTCTACTGCTGTGTGTTGTAGGACTCAGTGGACTCTCGATGGTCCCTGGGAGAAAACTGAAAGAGGATTTAGAAAATAAAGACAGGACACAAAGGCTGGGGTCAGGTGGAGCAGCCTCTTACCTGACGGGCAAGAAGACTGACCTACAATAGTAGGGGCGTTTATTTATACCCTTGCAAAGTAAGTATCCTGAGAGGCAATGTTGCCTAGCGACTAATGATTGTATTTTCCAGGCAGGATGCTTTTCTCAAGACTGAGATAGCTTGACTCCTTGAGGCACTCTAGCTCTGTCCTGCCCTCACACATATGACCAATATCCAGCTCCAGCCACTCCTAACAGTGTGTAGCTCAGGTGCGCTGGGTGCCAACGCAGTTGCACTGTTCGCTGCGGTAATTTCATCCACTGCTTACCGAATCTGTGTCACCACTGTGCCTCTCCTTTCACGGGTTCTGGTGCCCATCACTGTCGGGGGCCCAGCTCACAGCATCATGGACCTTCAGCCCTGGGCCACACGGGGAGCTGCCCTGGAGGGACTGGATGACTGGGAGCGCTTGCCAGCCACTCTTCATTTCTCTGGAGACAGAATTACTCTTCCAGGTTCTCCGTGGTCCGTGTAGCCAGGGGTGTCCCACCCCAGGTCACATGTCCAGGCGTTCCCGTCCTCTGAGCTCCTTCGTAGCAATGTCCTGCC